CAGGAGTTGCTGCTGCTGCTGGAGTGGGAATGGGCATTCGGCCTGTTCATCCCACAAACGGGTTGCCGCCGCATGCGCTGAGTCATCCGGCCGGCGGTCTGACTCATCATGCTGCCGTGGCTTCTGCTGCTCCTGGTAGCAGAGTGCCTGCTGTGGCCTCGGCCAATAGCAGTCTGCCTTCCACCAGTGGGCCGCAGACGAATGGGCCGTTGGGTCCTTGGTTTGCTTCTCATTAGACTGTCCGTCTGTGGTTTCTGGTTTCGAATTGGTGTTTATCGTGCGAGCGACATATGTGAAATCTTTTGGGCTCGAAAGGATGAGGGTTTGGAAGGATGCGTCTAAAGAGTCTCTTCCATGGCTGAAACCTTGCAGTATCTTTGTGAAATGGTTGTGCTTGTGGTTAAGCTGACATGGTGTTTTCTGGCCTTTAACCTATATTGTAAGGAAATTACGAAGCAAAAATTGGGAATTGTGTTACAGATTTCGGGTAATGCATCTTTTCTCTCGTCGCAAATTCGTGGTGACCCGTGGTCTACTCGCCCGCCTTGTCGTCATATCCACACGCCACTGCGATCTGCTGTTGTTTCTTCCTATGGGGCAATCACTGCAAATACGTGTTGTCCCCGATATGATCCGATCCGCCTTGAGGGTACATCAGGCGTGCGCTGATATGGTGTGCAAGCCAATCATCCCCCACCCGCCATAACTCAAATGAGGCATCAACCCTTGCTCTCGCGCTGATGGGGATAATTTGTAGCTTGGTTAGTCCAATCCTATGTGCAGCAACTGGATTTCTATCATCTTACCCTAGCCATTCTTTCTTCTGTCATGCTTTCACTTTCACTTCTCTCAGCTAGCCAATACGTACCACTTTCCCTGTCACTTGGATTCAGATTCTGCAATATCCCTTTAGTATCCCCTCACCTTGCCTACTTGTGTCATTTGCATTTTGCGATTCTCTGATTCAGTCAGTCGTGCCGCTCTAGGGACTTCCTGCGTGAGTTTCCAGTGTCAGTATTCGCGCGATAACCTAAAGCGATGGACCTCGTACAAGATAATGCTGCGCATACGCAAGCTTCTGAGCGGTCTGAGAGGGATTTGGAACAGTTCGGCATGCAGACGCAGGCTGTGAGCGACGAATTCGGTTCGACTGTTACGGACGATAGAGAGGAAGAGGGAGCTCCTGATGCCCATCACGAAGACCTGTCTCCGGAAGAGTGGAACAAAAGACGAGAGCAGCTCAAGTAAGCTTGTTATTTGTTTTTTCGTCGTATGGAATAGACCTGGCGACCTTAGCCTTATGAAGCATGACTTGCCATGTCGATGTCGTGCAGGCAATGCCTAAGAATGCTTCAAAAATCGATACCGTCTTCACTGGTTGGTCCGGAGCCTGACGTGGCGGAGCTTCTAGAAAGCGCTGGTGCTTACATCAACTACCTGAAGGTCCGTTTCCAGCCTTTGAACGCTCTTTGCGAGTGCTTTTTTCCATGATTGTCTGTGGCTACATGGTGGGCATTTCCCTGAAATCTCATCTTTGTTTTGCAGACGTATAACCAGACCTTGGCTGTTGTAGTCGCCCATCAGCTATAACATTAGGGTTTGTTTCTTCCGCTTTTCTTTCTAGGGTTTGTATATTTTAAAATCTTCATATTTGCTTGCTCTGCTAGCCAACTTTTAATACTGGTAACCGCAAGCCAGATCCTCCATTAGGTAACTGCTCGCACTTGATTGAAGGTGGCTAGTTTATATGTGTGATGTACAATTTTCAAGTACTTCACTCCTCTCTATCCTTGAAAATGTTTGCTGTTTACACACCCCCGCTGTCTACGCAAATTTTCTAAAAAAAACATATTGAGAAAGCTTGCTTTCTGTTCTTGCAAAAGCAACGGGCTTCATTACAATTGCAGTAATACAACATTCTCGTCCAACTATGGATGGATTATACAGATATACAACTAGGGTGGGTGGGTGGGGAGTGGAACTGCAAAGTTCCGAAATGAAGTCGTGGGTGGAGGCCGAATGGCCTCCAACCCTCGTTATGTACACGGCGAATTGTAATTCGCCATTGCTTTGCTTCGTGACAGTCAGCTGCGCTTTCAAAATACGCATTTTTAGAAAGTGTTACACACTTTCGAAAAAAATCATATTGAGAAAGCTTGCTTTCTATTCTTGCAAAGGCAACGGGCTTCATTACAATTGGGTCTTCTGAGACATGTGCAGTTGGGGTGTTGAAGACGTGGCGAGTGTAGTTGCGATTGATGGCCTTGACGAAGTGCCGAGAGAGGTGGCGTTGGTAATCGCGATCTCTATGTCGATGGCGTTCGAAATGTTGTGTGTGCGAAGGTTGCGTTCTGTTAGTGTAGATGTGCGTGTTTGTTGATGCAGCAGAATAGTGGTTGCAATTGGTGGTTCCCAACCAAGGTCTACACACCCAATGGACGGTACAACTTTTATCTTGGGATTTACCATGTGCTCTGCTGTACTCTACGCTTCCAACCGTTTGAGGTTCGGGGTTATCTACAACGTGGATGTATGGGCTGAGTTGGTAGTAGCGGGAGGGTGTTGTGAAAATGAGAACGAGAATGGATGAACTATGAATGAAGTGAGTACATATAGGAAACCCTAATTGGGTTGTACCCCCTATGGGATACCCCACTATAGCCTACACAACAGCATAAGCTATATATATGTTCTGACACACCCCCATAGGCAAAGTGGGGGAGAACAAGGGGTCACAAGACCAGTCACGCAAAGAACAGCAAGCTCAGGGTGGATCACAAAGTCACCACACAGTCCGAGCACAACGACAAGGCCACAAGGCCAGTTCACATGCAGGAGTGCACATATATATATAGAGCTAGACAAGCAAGAGCAGGTATATATATGTGACAGTACAAGCAAGGTCAAGAGGAGAGCAAGTGAGGCAAGACAGGTACAAGACCCAGCTGAGTGCAGAAGCGCTGATGGTCACAAGGCGGAAGTGCCTTGATGAACACATCAGCAGTGTTGGCCTCAGAGGCCACGTACGCAAGTCGCAACTGACCACGCTGCTGCAGCTCACGAGCAAGAAAGTAACGGAGAGCAATGTGCTTCGTTCTGTGCTCCAAGCGCTGCTCTCGACACAAGGCCAGCATGGCCTTGTTGTCTACGTAAAGCACTGGAGGAGAACGAGGCGGCTCTCCAAGGTCAGTCAGCAGGTAGGTGAGCCAGCGAAGCTCCTGTGCAGCCATGGCCCCGGCGTAGATCTCAGCCTCACAACTGGAGCCGAGAACAGAGGACGAGCGAGTAGCCCGCCACGAGACAGAGCCGGAACCAAGACTGAAGGTGTAACCCTGCGACGACCGCTGCGTAGCCTGGTCGTCAGCCCAAGAAGCGTCCGCGTGCCCAGTGAGCACCACTGGACTCCGCCCTCCAAGCACTAGCCCCATGCCCGACGTACTGCACAAGTAGCGCAACACCCTCTTCGCTGCAGCCATGTGCTCTGGTCGGTGTCTCCCAGGAGCAACATAGCGTGCAAGAATGCTAAGAGGGTATGCAAGGTCAGGTCGTGTGCAGGTCATCAGGTACATGAGGCAACCAACAAGCTCTGGGTACGGGCCACTCGACTCTACGGACTCATCCGAAGGCAGAGCTGAGAGCGAGTGGCGAGTAGACAGAGGAGTGGCCTGAGGCGAGGAGTACGTGAAGCCGAAGCGCTGAAGGACCTGCTGCACCATGTGTGACTGAGTCAAGGTAATGGTGCGGCGTGCTCTGTCCCGAGTGATCTGCAAGCCAAGGTAGCTGCGCAGTTCACCCAGGTCTGTGCACGTGTGTCTCTTCTGCAGCTCGGACTTCACGTAGGCTAGTCCAGCAGTGTCAGCTGTGGCAAAGACCAAGTCGTCGACGTACACGAGGATGTAGAACGGCGGCAAAGAAGTGTCAGTGCGCAGAAACAACGACGGGTCAGCAGTAGAGGGAGCAAACCCAAGAGCCGCAAGCGTAGTCCCCAGTGTGTCGTGCCACTCACGCGGTGCCTGGCGGAGACCGTAGACTGGCCGTCGGAGGCTCCACTGGGTGCCAGGAGGGAAAGTCCCAGTGAAGCCAGGTGGACGGCGCAGCCAGATCTCCTCGTGCAGGCTACCCTGCAAGAAAGCAGTGCTGAAGTCAAGAGAGTGGAGCTCGTAGTCGCGCTGAGCGGCTATGTGCAGCAGCACCCGAAGAGTGGTCATCTTCGGGGTGGGAGAGAAGGTCTGAAAGTAGTCAACTCCCTGCCGCTGACTGAAGCCACGAGCGACGTACCGCGCCTTGAAGACAGGTGGAGAGCCCGGCGGCCGCTTCACCCTGAAGATCCACATGCCACTGACGATGTTCGCCCCAGGAGGGGGAACCGCGTCAACGTAGGTGCCTGTGGACTTCCAGGACGCCATCTCTGCATCCATAGCTGCCTGCCACTGAGAGGAGTAGGGACCCTCTACGGCCTCCGCGTAAGAGCGCGGAGTCGGGATGTCTAGTGCATCCGGGTCTCCCTCAGGGGCAAGTAGTACGGACGCGAGATGAGGTGAAGCAGCAGCCAGACACTGGAACTCCTCCTGCCTGTCCTCAAGGACGTCCGTGCCAAGAGCACACTCACCCCCGACGGACGGAGGACAGACAGACGCAGACTCAGCAACAAGACCGGCAGCGTAGTCTAGACGACAGCGAGCAGCAAAGTCGACGAGCTCAGCAACAAGAGCAGACGCAGCAGTGGACTCAAAAGAGGGGTCAGTGACGACAGTAGCAAGGAGACGTGTGACAGTAGGACTGGTAGCACGAAGAGAGTCGGACTCTGGGTCGGTAAGTGCAGGAAGAGAGGACTTAGGAGGAGAAGGCAAAGGGGCACGCAGAGGAGCAGTGGACGGACGCAAAGACATCCGGTGCGTGCCAGGGACAGGAGGAGGACGCTGACGCGAACCGCGACCACTAGCGCGAGCAGCACGAACAGGCGACGCAGGACGAGACGCAGGCTCACGACGCTCAGCAAGACCTCCAGTGGGACCAGTGTAAGGAGAGGGAGCAGGAAGTGGGGAGGCGGGCTCTAACTGGGACTGTGACTGAACAGGCGGTGGACACGCTGCAGGAGGAGAAAGACCAAGAACCTGCTGTAGGAGTGGAACGAAGTACGGCCGAGGCCGCGCGGCGACTCCAGACACAGCAGGGACAGCACCCTCAGCAGCAGCACCAGCGCCAACAGCACCTCCAGGGGCAGGACCTCCAGCAG